GAAAGGTAGATGTCTGTGAGCTAATGGTATTAGAGGTGATAATTGGGAAAGCTATCTTTGTAATGGGTAAGGTAGTTGGGGTCTTTGTTCAATCCCCCCGGGAGAGTGTCGAATTTTAGCATGAATGACAGTTCAGAGGATTCCCTTTCAAGTGCAGATGTAAAAGGTCTTTGTAGCAGAATGCAGGTAGTTAAGTTGTTGAGATAGTGTCCTTTCTGGTTGAAATGGCAAGAAATTGTTTTTTCTTTGTGATCCTGTCTGATATCTGTTTTGTTAGATATCTCTTTAAGGTTAGAGCTTCCAGAATACTTAGACAATTTAATTTAATGGAGGATTGTGAATGACAAGTGCAAGAATTAAAGACTTATTTTAAATAAAATTTAAAGTAAACACACATTAAAATATAACCATATGTTACATTGATACTCACATTCTAAGATGAAATGGTGCATGCAGGGTTGTTCTGTTCCTGGGTGAGAAGAATGGGTATATAATCCTTTCTCTAACCATACGTTTATCATGGATGAATGTGCTGATCTAAAATTAGCATATTGTTCTTTTATAATCAAGTATAGTACCCCTTAATTAGTTAGCATTAACCCTACTTTTTACTGTCTCTATATTTCTACTCCCGCTGTTTTTGAATTGGCTGTTTAACACTAAATGTCTTTTTAATTAACATGTAGATACATTAATTAACATACAGATAACATTCTTCCAAAACATTCACATTTGGTCTAAAATGCTTGTTAAAACCCAAAACATACTTACAGCATGACCTCGGGTTATGTCCTCAATTTATCTCTAAGTTTCCTCTGAATTGTCTCATTTCATTTATCAGATCTTAATCCAAAAACCTCTTCTCTACTTAGATTTCAGCACATTTCTTTTTAATATAAGCGAGCATCATCTCTGTAGGCTACACATAATGGAAATGTTAGACTTAACTCGTGTCACTATTACGTCACAAATAATATATCTTGTGTTACATATTGTAAGCCTGATTTGTCACATTGCCTGATTTTGGGAGTCCATAAGACTCTATTACAATGCATATACTGAAAGGAGCAGGTTACTATGGTAACAATTAAAATAAGCAATTAAAATTCTCATTCCATGGCAACTGACAAATCAATTACAGTTAAACTATTAAAATCTCATTCTTAATGTTGCATAAATACAGTGTTGTGCTTATAAGTTGTTTGTAATTTTGTCCTAGACAAGTATGTTCTGTTCATGATTTGGGATCTCTAAGGCTACATCGACATTACGAGTTTTGCCAGAAGAGGCAATGCAAATGAAGCTCAGATTAGCATTTTCTCACACTTCATTTGCATAATCTCTTCCAATCTGTTTGTGCAAAAACAACCAGTGTGCACGTTCCCTTTTTTGTGCAAAAACCCCCTTTTGCGCAAGATCCTTATGCCTGAAAAAAGGAGGCATAACGTCCACACTGCTTGTTTTTGTGCAAAAACAGATCAGAAGAGATTATGCAAATGAAACATGAGAAAATGCTAATCCACACTTCATTTGCATTGCCTCTTCCAGCGAAACTTGTAGTGTAGACATAGCCTAACAGTTTTTTAAATGAATTACATTTTAAAGAGCATGTCAGTTCTCCTTTAAAGAGAGGTGTAGTTTTGTTTTGCTGCTATTAGCATGTCTTCATCAGGGAGGCATATTAAAAGTATTATGGAAGAGACTAAACAGAGAAAATATGAGAGTTGGGATTTTCAAGAGAGCTCAGCGTTGGCTTTCCCGGTGACTGGGAGGGCCCAGCCTTGGGCCTAGACAAGCAGGTTCAGTTTCTTGCTGTCATGTGTTTCTTGGATAACCTTTGGCATATCACATCTCTCTGTCTCAGTTACACATCAGTAAATTGAAAGCACAGTAATACTTTCCTGTCTCTCAGGGCTACCAAGGACAAAGAAAATGGTGAGGCACTCCAATAGAGTGGGCACTGAGGCCATATGTACCTGAAGTGCTTAACACCCCCTTTGGGCTCCACTATGATCCACAAGACTCCCACCAAACCCATTAGGTGCCTAAACTCAGTTGGAATCTATGTTTGCAGGGTAGAAATTCCCTTGGTGCCTAGGTTTCTGCCTTTGGGCATGCAGTCTGCTGTCTCCCTTCAAACGCCTCCTACCTAAGCCCCCAAGCAATTCTAACCTGAGGGAATACAGGTATTTGATCACCTAAGTGACATGCTGAGCCTAATCCAGAGGCCATGTACTGGACTGGATCCATTCTCTAGGGGGCAAATATCCAGTCATCAGGCTGAGGGCAGGGGCCAATGATCCATAAGTTCAGTGATTAAGTGAGCTGAGGACCTCAGCTCCAATCACTCTTAAATTATCTGCAATTGAATAGCTTTAGCAGGAGAGATGGATGAAGCACCACATCAGAATAGCCCATATCTCAGTGGTTAGAGCCAGGTGGGGGTAGGAGGAAGAGACACCTCTTCATATTCTCTTTCACTCACTAGCTGAAAGAGGGCAGGATTTGAACCTGTCTCTCCCACAGTCTACGTGAGGTTCTTATTAGCTGAATATAGGTATGGCAGCACCAGCACCTCCAGCTGCCTTTCTGCACAGCAAAGCAGACACCTAACTCACTCCCACAGGTGCCAACACTGCCTGACTCCATCCACTCCGTGGATTGTTGTGTGTGGATCACTAAGCAGAGCTAGGACATAAGCCCCACTGTGAAAGGGGCATCTGGGACCAGGGGCAACCTCCCGCCCT